GTTAAATTTTTACTTAAAATTTATATTTTAAAAGTTAAAAAGTTAAATCAAATCTATTAAAAATAGATAAAGTAATTTTTATTCCTTAATGTACCAAAAAAAAAAAGAGGAAGAAAGAAAGAAAATTGTTACTCCTTTATACGGCAACAATTAGTAACATGTCGATCTTTACTAATTAATTAAGCAAGCATAGTTAAATACAAAAGACCAAACAAAAAAAAAAGAAAAAAAGAAAAAAGCAACATTACATACATTGAATTTGTTTATGAAAGTAATCTAATTAAGAGCTGGGAAATAAATGCAACAAAACATTTGAATTCGTGTTATGTGTGCACGCAATATTAGCACCGAAATTGTTCTGGAATCATGCCGCCTCTCGCCCTGCTTTAATTTCCATCTCAACCGGTAATGGCTTTGGAGTCTCTGACCTCTGTGATTAAATGGTTCGTACGTTGCATTAATTATTTAATTAATTGTCAGTGTTGTATATATTAGAAGGATTTATTTATTCTTTGCCTTACGAACAGAGGATAAGAGATAATAATTATTAATTAATAATTGTTTTTTATCCTTAATGCACGTAATAGATAAACCCATATTAAAAAAATAGTATCAAAATGAAAAAGGAAATGAAAAGAAATGAGTTATGATGTATGATCACTTTTCTCAGGAGTTCAAAAAGCCCCATGACACAACATGAACTATAACAAACTCTTCTCTCGAATCGTAATTGTGGGAATCGACTAGTTGGAAAAAGAAAAAAATGAAAAAATACGACAACATGATATTAAAAAGGACAATGGTATGTTTACCCTGCCGACCAACACCCTTACCTACACCCATTTAATTCAATAAATATAATATAATTTAAATAGATTTCTATAACGTTAAAGGCTTATCCCTAGCTTATTTGGGATATTTTATTTCTCCTTTTTGTGGTTCCTCACATTCTTCCTTTCTTCTCCTTTCTTCCCCTTCTCTCTCCTCTCTCCGTTCTCCATTGCCGGCAATTTCTTCCTTCTCCGATGTTGGTTCTCTTCTTGCCCCTCGATCTCCCTCATTGGCTCAAGCCTTTCCTCTCCAGTCTAGTTGTTTTCCCTTCCATAAAATCCACTACCCATCTCTATTCTCAATCTAGGTTTCAACAGATTTTGGCATCGTCCCACCCTTGCCTCTCTCATTCTCTCTGTTCCTAAGCCTCTTCTCCATTCATGCCTTCTTCCTCATCCGATTGAACCATGGAAAGTCTAATGTTCTAGATCTAGGTTTGGCAAGGCTACACAACGGGGAACCCATATGGGTTCCTAAATCTGTTCTCAAATCTATTGACCCAACTTCAACTCAACAACAAATTCATCCTTTCAATCATTGTTTTGATTTTAATAAGTTATTCGTTGCTTTGAAATTCCAAGAAAATGAAGAGAAAATGAGATCTTTTTTTGTTTAAATTTAAATTTTTTTACTTCTTGTTATCTTTTTTCTTGGGAATTCTTGTAGATTTCCATTTTAACTTGATTTTATTGCTTGGTTGGTTTATTGGAGGGGAGAATTGTAACTAGAGAATTAGATGTCTTCTTTTTTCCCATTTTATTCTTTTATCTGTATTACTTCCTTTGTTCCCATTTTCTTCATTTTCATTCTCACCTGTACCTCCCTCACAAACTACTGATTGGATCAATTGCCCACACTAGAATCACAAAAGGGGAGAAAGGTAAGTAAGAGATTAAGCCAGAAAGAGTAGAGTTCAGAGAAAGAGATGAAAAAGATTGACAATTAGTAACCAGATCTGCTGCTAGATTAAAGTTGCACATGATTAAACCCTTTAGCTTAGGTGAGCTTTAATGGTTGGAGAGCATAAAACCCCAGAATGCAAAGGGTGCGGAGAAAAAAAAAATGTGGCATCAAAATGAATTAGAATGGTGAGAGGATACAGACGAGGTGGGTCTTCAGAAGAAATAAAAAGTAGTCACCGACATCTTCCTCTTACTAGTTGTAGAGTCACATAATCTGGAATTTCATTCTGACATGGCAAAATGAGTGAGTGCCCTCCCTAGCGAGGAGAAAGTCTATTATATTGAGAAATATATTCGAAACACGAGTTAACCAATATAGTATGAATGGCAACAAGTTTAAGTTGTTCTTGTCTAATTCCAAAACCGTAAAATATTAATTTTTTATTTAGTGTGCGACAATGGGTGAGGAACCGGATGTGCATGAATCGGCGTCCTATTAAAAATATCAAGATATTTAATCATAATCTTTAAATATATGAAGTATTATGTTAGTTTTAATTTTATCAAATTTATCATATAATAATTATTAAATATTTTAATATTTTTAATGTTACGGCATTTTAATTTTTCATTTTCCCTTGACTAGTTATAGCTAGATTAAAAGTCGCCATTTTCTTACCTTTCTATATGGAACTAATTAATGGACACCTTCAATAAATGCATTCAAATAGACACACCAATTCATCAGTTGGATCTTATGCCTTTTCAACCATGATCAAATTTCAAAAACAAACTTTAAACATATCTCTCTCTTTTTTTTTTTTTTTATGAGTTATACAGTAAAATCAACCATAGTCTATACCTTAACTTACCATACTTGCTTATCATATGATTCAAACTTATTTCTTCTTTTTCAAAAGAAGTCCTTGGCAAAACATATCTATTTATTTATTCTCAGACGATACACCCTTTCGTCCCATCATCATGAGCATTCAAATAGATCATGTCTTTCCAAAGTTTAATCACGTCCTTTAATTTAGACATGTCCCTGGTGAACTTGGTCATGTGTGTCCAATTTTCACCATTTTGTAATTTAAAGTGCCCACTAATCCGTAAGCACTTTTCACATTACTCAGCAGTACTAAGTTTAAATCTTGAAATATGTAAGAAAAATATATTATTTTTTGTTGTGTATTACTCTTATTCATTTTTAGTAAATTTAATTTGATTTTTTGATTTTTTAGACATAAATTTTAAATAAAAATTTAACATAATGTATAAATGATAATTAAATTTTTTTTATTAAATAAAAATACTCAATAAGAACATTATATAGATAAAAAAAATTTTCAATTATTGTAAATTATTAAGTTTTTATTTTAAATTAATATTTAAAAAGTTAAAAAATCAAAATAAATATTCTAAAAATGAACGGAGGAAGTATTGAGTAACCATGATTGGTGCACACCCGGATCCGACACCCGGGTGTGCACCCCTCCACATAAAAAAAAAAAAAAATGAGAACACCTGGTCCATTTGTTTTTTTAATGTGGAGGTGTGCACACCCGAGCGTTGGATTCGGATGTATACACATCATTTTCCTTGAGTAAGATATAGATAGAGTATTGAGTCACAAATTCGAATTTAACTGCCCGTCCTTTACAATAACGGTTATTGCATGTTTTATGGAATCAAAAATAGCTAGAAATGGATTTACAGGTTGCCGACAAGGTACACATGCCAACATAGTAACATACGAAGCAAAAAATTTAAGGAGAGATGAGAGAGAGAGGAAGAGAGAGAGAGCGAGCAAGCGGATATCGTTCACGGGCTGGACGGTCATCACAGGGTAATGAGAAAGAGAGACATCGAGGAAGAAGTCAGCAACGGAAGATCTCATCAGGTGGTAAGAGGCGAACGACGATTGACTATGTGCAGGATAAGAAGTCTCAGTTTGGTGGAGCCTATAACAAAGGCCTGTATAACCAAGCTACACCATTCTTCTTCACAAACTTCCCCGAAGAATGGAGCTATGCAGAAATGTGGAGGACTTTCTCACAATTTGGAAGGGTTTATGCTGTATATAGTCCGAGAAGGAGGAACAGGAACGGTAATAGATTTGGCTTTGTGCGTTTTCTGGATGTCAAAGACAAAAAGGAGCTGGAAAGGAAACTCGATCAGATCTGGGTTGGGGACCGTAAACTGTGGGTGAACATTCCACGTTTTGATGCTTTGCAAAAAAAGGAGATGGAGCGGAGAAATCCCCAAGGAGAGGACTTGAGAATTCCCTTAAATACTTGCCCAAACATACAAGGAAGAAGCTTCGCTGATGTGGTAAAAGGGTCACGAGGCATAGATAGTAGAATGGTTTGGCAAGAGAAAGGACCAGGGGAGAACTGGCAAGGCATGGAGTATAAGGTAAACGTTGAAGATAGTACATGGCTTGAGGGAACTTATGTGGGGTCGGTCCACTCTGTTGAGATGGTCAAGAATCTACAGGAGAAATTCTTCATGGAGGGATACTTCCATTATCGAATCCGAGCTATGGGGGGTAATCTGGTGCTGCTGGATTGTGAAGACAAAGAGGAGTTGAAGGACCTGGTGGATATGGCATCGGAATGGCTAGGACAATGGTTCGAAGAGGTCTAGCCGTGGTCACCAAATAAGATAGCACAGGAGAGGTTTGTGTGGATCCGATGCCAAGGAGCTCCACTGAACGTTTGGGGCTCGGATTTCTTTGAAAAAATGGGTTGCTCATGGGGTAAATTCATATGCTTGAATGATAATACAAGCAAAAAAAAGAGGTTTGATATTGCAAGAATGCTGATATCCACTCCAATAATGGATACAATATCCGTTAGGCGCCAGATCAAGATCAATGGTTCGATTTACAATTTAAGGTTCTTGGAGGAAGAGTTCACCAATAGCTTCTTCTCATTAAAATATGATTTTATTCCTACCTTCCAGAGTGATTCAGAAGAAAACAAATCTTGGTCGATTGAAAGCTCCAAGCATGATCATGTTTTCTAGGATGTAGATGGAGAATGGCAATCTGTGGATGAGCCCGGAGGTGCAGAGGGGGGAGAAGAAGATGTGGTGAGATGTACAGGGGAAACAAATGGTAAATTCCAGCTCCAAGACCCACAAGACGGTGACAGGACAGTTGATGCAGTGCCTAACAGTATAGAAAATTTTGAAAATTTTGAATTTTCAAAAGATGGTGAGAACAGAGCAGGGGTAACGGGAACGGCAAAAATGGGGGGGAATGCAGCTGCTGATGCATGATCCAAAAATGAGGAAGGCGGGCTTTTGGGCTTGGTGGAGCACAATAATAGCAAGTCATATAGAGGTGTTCTTAAAAAAAGAGTTGGGTCAATTTGCGGCCCAAATAGTGAGGATTCCGTTCCTATAGATTTGGCCCAAGAAACAATGGAGGGAGTAAGCCCAATCTCTATGGGAAGGAAGGTTATTAATGGGAATAAGTCAGAGTGTTCTAGTCAAAGAAACGGTGAAAAAAGGGGCAGTTCGGGGAGTTGCTTGGGGAGTGATGAGGGGAGCGTTGGCGATGGGGGGCAGAGGCGCGCAGCCGGAACCCAAAAGAGAAGGAAGACGAGGCTAAGATCATGCAGACCTGTATATCTGTAGGAAGCATCGGTGTAGAGGAAGCAGTGCAAGAACAAGGGGCAGGGTCGTCGGAGCAAGCAGCCAACGGGGGGCAGATTCTGCCAGATTTTATAGCCAGCCCAAACGGAGAAATAGCAGGTGAATCTATAGGGCACAGTGGGATTCAAAATTGTAACAGATCCATAAAGAGGAAGATGCAACGGAAGCTTGCGAAGGAGATTTGGGAGCTAGCCAAGCACCTAGGAGCGACGGCTGAGTGTGATGAAGAGGTGATCTGCAAATTGACGAAATGGAGAAAAGAGATAGCCAAGCCAAAGCTGACATGGAGAAAAAGGAAGCAGGAGGTGTGAAGAAGGTTTGTATAGATTCCAATGATATTGCTATCTTTTAACATTAGAGGCTTAAGAGGGGTTAGGAAAAGAAGACATATTAGGGATATAGTTTTGAGGGAGAAAATAGAATTTTTAGCTGTACAAGAAACCAAATTGGAAGTTGTTGACAGGAAGCTGTGCAGGAGGGTGTGGGGGACGGAGGATTTTGACTGGATTGCCAAGCCATCTATGGGGTTGTCGGGTGGTTTGCTGTGTTTGTGGAATAATAAATTTTTTAAAAAGGAAGAGGTGATAGAAGGGGATCATTTCATTGGGGTGTTTGGGACATGGGGGGAAGAGAGAGTTCCGGTTCATACATTAAACATTTATTCTCCATGTGATTTGCCTGGAAAGAGAGCCCTGTGGGTGGAGCTGCAGAATCTGATCTCAAATAGGAATGGCAACTGGTGTCTAGGGGGGGACTTCAACGCTGTCCGAAGCTCAGGGGAGCGGGCAGGGTGCAATGGGATGTCCAGAGAAATGAAAGATTTTGACAGTTTTATCATCGAATCTGGGCTGGTTGATTTGCCTATGGTAGGGAGGAAGTACACCTGGTACAATGCTAATGGCCAACATATGAGCAGGATTGATAGATTCCTGGTTTCAGAGGAGTGGCTTTTGAGATGGTGCGATGTGAAACAGTGGGGGTTGAAAAGAACAGTTTCATATCACTGTCCTATTTTATTGAAGAACGAGTGGGTGGACTGGGGCCCAAAGCCTTTCAAGTTTTTTGATGCTTGGCTGCAGGATCCTGGGTGCAAGGAGCTGATTAGAAAAACATGGAACTCTTCGGCAGTGGAGGGATGGTATGGATTCAAACTCAAGGAGAAGCTAAAAAGTACAAAGAAAGCTTTAAAAGAATGGAGCCGAAACGCAGCGTCAGAGGTGGATAGGAAAATAATTGAAGCTGAGAGTGAGATAGCTCATCTGGATGAAAGAGGAGAGAATGTCCAACTGCTACCAACCGAAATTGAAAAGAGGAGAAGTAGTTTTCTTGAACTGTGGAAGAACCTCAAATTAAAAGAGAACATGTGGCAGCAAAAATCAAGATTGATGTGGTTAAAAGAAGGTGATGCAAACACCAAGTTTTTTCATAGGTGTGTGAAGGGAAGATGGAGAAAAAACGAAATCAACAGCATCCAGATTAATGGTGAACAGCATAAGGGCGTGGGTGAAATTAAAGAAAAAATGGCGAGTTATTTCGAGCAGCTTTTCACAGAAGATAGGTGGCAGAGACCCAAGCTAGAGGGTATTAGCTTTCGATAGATTGACGGGGCAGACAATGAATCCCTTATGGCAACATTCTCTGAAGAAGAAATCAAAAATGCTGTTTGGGATTGTGAGTCGTCTAAGTCTCCAGGCCCGGATGGATTTAATTTCAAATTTGTGAAGTGCATGTGGGAAGATATAAAAATGGAGATTGCAGGTTTTATTAGAGAGTTCCAGGAAAAAGGAAGGATTGTAAGAGGTTCAAATGCTTCTTTCATAACTCTAATTCCGAAGGTAGAAAACCCCCAAAAAATTGAGGAATACAAGCCCATTTCACTTATCGGAGTTATGTACAAGATTATCGCAAAGCTGCTAGCAAATCGCCTTTAGAAAGTGCTGGACAAAGTTATCGGGGAGCAACAAATGGCATTTATTGAAGGTAGACAGTTGGTTGATGGTGTGGTTATTGCTAATGAAGTGATTGATGAGGCGAAGAGGAAAAAGAAGAGAAGCTTCCTTCTCAAGGTCGATTTTGAAAAGGCATACGATAACGTGTGCTGGGACTTCTTAGACTATATGCTGATGAGGATGGGCTTCTACAAGACTTGGAGAATGTGGATACATGAGTGTCTACAATCTAGCATGGTCTCAGTTTTGGTCAATGGAAGCCCTTCTAGACAATTCCCAGTAAGCAAGGGACTCCACCAAGGAGACCCGTTATCCCCCTTCCTATTCCTGATAGTAGCAGAAGATCTGAATGGTTTAATGTCTTCTATAGTTGAAAAAGAGTTATATAAGGGTGTGACAGTTGGTAAGGATGCGGTAATGGTTACCCACCTTTAATTCGCAAATGATACCATCTTTTTTGGGGAAGCAACAAAAGATAACATCATGGTGATTAAAAGCATGATGAGGACTTTTGAGCTGCTCTCCGGATTGAAAATTAATCTACAAAAGAGCCAACTAATGGGCATCAGTGTTGAAGACAGCTGGGGAAGCAAAATGGCCTATAGATTATGCTGCAAAAAAGGGGAATTTCCATTTAAATACCTGGGAATTCCCATTGGGGGAAGCCATAGAAGGCTCACAATGTGG